AGGATCCAAATGGAAAGCCTGTAAACACAACTGCTTACAGAGGAATGATCGGCTCCTTGCTCTATCTCACAGCTAGCCGACCCGATATCATGTACTCCACTTGTCTTTGTGCAAGATATCAAGATGAACCAAAGGAATCCCATCTGATCGCTGTCAAACGCATATTTAGATATCTCAAAGGAACTCCTAGTATGGGTCTTTGGTACCCTAATGGTTCAGGTTTTGACCTTATTGGTTATTCGGATAGDGATTTTGCAGGTTGCAAAATTGATAGGAAAAGCACCACTGGAGGCTGTCAGCTTCTAGGTGGAAAGTTGGTGAGCTGGACAAGCAAAAAGCAAAATTCAGTGTCCACATCAACTGCTGAAGCTGAATATGTAGTTGCTGGTAGCTGCTGTGCCCAAATTCTTTGGATGAAAAATCAGGTACTGGACTACGATCTTCAGTTTTCCAGAATTCCTAATTATTGTGATAGCACTAGTGCCATTGCAATTGCAAACAACCCTGTTCTTCACTCCAAGACCAAACATATTAAGATCCGATATCATTTTATCAGAGATCATGTTATGAATGGTGATATTGAACTTCACTTCGTTCCAACTGAGTATCAACTCGCTGACCTTTTCACCAAACCTCTTGATGAGACAAGATTTAATATCTTGATCAACGAATTGGGTATGTTGAACACTGAAGATTAACCTTCAGTTATTAAACATCACTCAGTAAGTGAAATGATTCAGTGCTCTWTCTCTAACACTGAACTCTTGAGTAAATATATCTACTCTCTAAGGTATGATTACTCTTCTCTTTTCCAAACTTAAAACCATCACTGAATATTCTCTTTTCCAGTGATAAAATGTTTTAAAAGGTGGTCTCAGTGATTCTCTTCACTCACCACATCTTCAAGTATATCTATATACTTTCTTAAAAATCTAAATTGATCACTGACTCTTTTTCTTCAAGTATATTTGTATTTTCAGTTCCAGCGATCATCACTGAGTATGTTTAGTGATCGCTGAAGAACTTGCATTGTAAATTCATCAGAGACAAACAATACTTCAAGAAGACAACACTCACACCAAAGATCCTTCAGCGAACGTCGAAGACTAGAAACTGAAGATTAGAGACTGGCGAGTACGTGATCTGAAGCGGTATTCAGTGATTACAAACCTGTCTACATATGTGTGAAGACTGCTCCAGCTTCAGCGAATGATGATGAGACCTCCAGGTCATCCTAGCATTCAGCGATCAAAAGAAGCTTGCTTAGCACGATTGTTGTTGTCTTGTCCTTTTGCACACAAAGGACAAACCCATACCTTTGCAAAAGTTTGTACGGTACGGAGCCGATTAGTCGACTCTTTGTCCACCAACTTTAGGCAAGGATGTCTGCTCAAGAATAGTACTTTTGTACTATTCACTGTAGCAAAGGACAAGCCTTCCTCTTAAGGCTTGCCACGCACTCTAAACCTACCATATTGCATTAAATGTTCATTTAATGCACTGGGTATAAATATAAGTGTTTCTTCTCTTTGTAGAGTGCGCGCATCTCTCTGCAATCCTCTTCTTACTTCAAGCATCTTCTAGCTTAAGTAAAATATCTTCTTTTAGCAATCTCTTTTCTTGTAATTGCTAAAGATCTGTGTGTAACCAAAGATTGTTTAGATAGGTTTTCTCTACCTTATCTTTCCGCAAACAGTCTTGTAAAATCTGTATTGATCTTCTCTATCAATATATATTTAAATTTGAAAATACTGTGTTTGTATTCATCCCCCCCTTCTACAAACTGTTTCCATTCTTGTAGACCCTTTCGGGACCAACAATGACTGTTACCTTCAGACTGAGACATGCTAACTTTTTCCATCTATAATTCTAAACAATATAACAATTAACAAGTTAACAAAAAGAATGAGTGTTCCATAACATTATATGAATATATGTTTACATCAAGCAAGGTGATATGAAGCCAATTAGATATAGAACCTATAAAAACAGAGCACTGATATGAAGTCAAAGATCTAAGAACAGAGATAAAAGAAAATATCTCATCTTTCAAGAACAAACTTCATAAATTCAAGACCCCAACTTCTTAAAAGTGTCTCAAAGAAGTGTTCTATAAACTCGTTTTTGTTGTAGTGCAACCACCAAACAAAATTATATGTACTGAGATATGAGTCCTAAAAAAATAAATGTGGCTGGTTGTGTGGCTATACACAAATGGGATTAAAGTGACATTGGAAGATATATAAGCAATTGCAAAAAAGTGTGAGCAAACTATGTGTAGTCTGAAGACAAATGTGGCTGGTTGTGTCATGTATGACTATACATAAATGCGGCTGGTTGTGTGGCTATACACAAATGGGATTTAGTTCAAATGTTTTGTCATATACTCATATTATAGGAACTTAGGAAGTTTATCCATTACAAACTTTATACAAACCATGATAGGAAGTTCATCCATTATAAACTTTATAACAATAAATGCATCAGCAATTCAACATTCAGTAGCATTTTGACAAGATCCCATGATAGAAACAAAACATACATATGTTGGGTAATAGACCCATCATCAAAAAATCTAGATTAATCCATTATATCATAGACAAATTACACACTAGATTAATCGATTATATCATAGACAAATTACACACTAGATTAATCGATTATATCACTTACCAACTTTTTGGGCTTCTCAGCTTGAGGCCGTTATCGACGAGGTAGAGCCTGTAGTGAGTATACACTATAGTCTATAGACTGTAGTACACTAGTATTGTAGTCGATAGAATCCAAAGAGGCAGAGAGTAAAGAGAGGCAGAGAGAAGAAAGCACAGACGGAGTGGTATTAACATCGGAAGGTAGAGGGTAATGAGTAGTATTAGCATGAGGAGTATTGGCATTGGGTGTATCTGATCTAAAATTGATTAGAATAGAGATGGTGAGAGGACAAAAAGTGGACATGGCGAGATAATGTATTTTCTGAATTTAGTTTTGAGAAGGGAAATTCACTTTCCACAAAGTGGACATGACAAGAGGTGAAGGCTTTCCCAAATTGAAGATTTAGATAATAATAAACACTTTGACTTGGGGAGTATCCAACAAATATATATTGTTGGGATTATGGTTCTAGTTTGTGTTTGTTGTAGGGGCGTAACCATGGATAACAAAGACATCCAATACCCTTTAGTTTTAATTAGTTGAGAGATTTGGCAAATAGTTTTAAGTAAGGTGAAGAATTTTGTAGGGCTGGAGTGGGAAGATGATTTATTAAGTAGATCACAGTAGTCAAAACAAGAGGTCGGTGAGTTAGAGGCATAGAGGAATAAGTGAGTGAAGAGAGTTCAGTTTCAACAATATATCGATGTCGGCATTCAGAGTAGCCATTATGTTTCGGGGTGTAAGGTGGTGTGGGAGACGTGGTAAGCGATCAATAGATAAGAAGGTTTTCAGGGACTCATATTCACCACCATTATTGAAGTGAAGGGATACAAGGGGACGTTCAAAATATTGTTCGACCAATGATTTATATCGGAGAAAAATGTCTTTTGTATTTGACTTTTGTTTTAGGGGGTAAAACC